CTGGTGAGAGTTGACTTTGCTACCCTAACCCTAACCTAAGTGGTTGAGGGCAACACTTAGGGTTAGGGTTGGATGGTTGAGGGAAGTGGGGCAGCGTGGTTAAGGGAAGCTGCCCCCACCTGGTTAGGTCATGTGGGGTCAACATAGACCCTAACCAGGTTGCTTGAGAGTGAGATTAGGGTGGCGAGACATTTCGAGGAGACTTCATGCGGCGATTTGAGAGAGGCGACAGTGAGAGGCACTCGCACCTGGAATCTGATTCAAGGGAGACACTTGGCAACTTAAGGGCTGTCCTCAAGTAGGCGAGCTTGAGGGTCGGCGGCCATTCTGCATCAACGGACTGCAAGTTGCTACTTTGTTCTTCAGCATCGACGGGGGATCCGGCGTTGCACTTGGGTGTTGGAGTCAGACCCTCCTAGGAGATAGGACACTAGTGTAGGGGTAGCGTTAGATGGGTCAGGAGGACCATATGAGAAGGGGGGTGAGTTCTCTTCATCTCGAAGCTCAAGGCCACTCAGGTGAGTGTCGTGCACATACGGGATGCCCATGTATGTGTGTATGGTATTGATTGTCCTGCTGGGGTACTCTGGGTTTCTTTTCCTACTCTGTGGTCTTGATCGTGTGACTGGATGCATGTGATCTACCTATTCACCTGATGGATGGAAAATGAAGTATCTTGTTACACATGCCGAGTCTTTCTACAGTGCTTTGTCTTTTCATCACTTAACGGTTATAGTCTGTAGGTTCTGCCAGAAGTTGAAATTTAGTTTTTTCAGTGCAGTCGAGACTGAACTAAGTTCAAGTGGGACTCTTCTTGGTTGGGACCTGCTTGAGACCTACGTGGGACCTTTGGGACCAAGTGGGACCCTTGAGACCCAACGGAACCGGGCCCAAACAAGGAGAGCCTCTGGACCCAAATCGGTTAGGCATTGACCTCTTGTCTTCTTGGCTGGGATACGAGTTCATTCTCCTTGGATTAGGACACCCACTGCCGAGGGGATCTTGGCTTTGACGTTTCGCTTGCATTCTGATTGCACCGTTCGTGGCTTGACTTGCACCCTGTACACCACTCAATTCTCTATTGTTGCATTTGGTCACTCGTTGTCTGATTTGCTGTATGGACACGGAGCTGGTCAGGTTGGACTCGAGAGGACCTCGTATGCAGCCTGATCAGACTGGGTCGCTGGATCAGACCTCTCTTTGAGTTGATTGTTTCTTTTGTTGTTCTCTGCTCCCAAATGAAATGTCGCTCCGGCTAGGAGTTCTACCTTATTTTCTCTGAGCTTTATCTGTTTTCTGAGTTCATTTCCGATGCCTGTGGAGACTCGCAATCAGAAAGAAGAAAGAGAGAGGAGGGAGAGAGAACAGGGGGAGAGAGAACAGGGAGAGAGGGAAAGTGATAGTCTGAGGTGGGAAGGACTGGGAAAAGGAGTGTTCGTCTAAGCGCAGGGGGGAGTGAACCTCTTGAGAGTCTGATTGATTCTTTTGTTGTCTGGCGACTCTCTGATCCACCTGCCCACGCTGACAGTCCAAAGATGGCCCAGATAAATTCGACGCAATGGCGGGCCTTGTTAGATGCAGCCGGTGATGTTGAGAAACCACATCTGCAAGCACTCTTGGATGGTGCTATAAAACGGGAACAGGAGTCAGAGAAGGAGAGGAAGGAGGCCTTGTTGAGAAGGCAAGTAGCCCTCCTAGAGACTGTTCCCTCACTGACTAAAGAGTAGTGCGGGGAACAGTTGCAGTCCATCCTCACAGCCTTTGTTCAAATCAGGAATCTTGAGGACCATACCACTCAGATCGCTGAAGTCTTTGCAAAACTGCTGACACTTCAGGATGATCTGACTGAGATGACCATCAAGTACCATGAACTGCAGAAGGAGGTGGCGGATCTGCGACAAGCCCAAGTGGCCAACCCTCTTCCTCTACCTCCTGGAACTGAAGCTGCAATCGAAACTACCTCTGCCCCTCTTACCGTGTCTTCTTCTACCTCATCTTCGAGTGTGATGGCAACTCCTTCAGGACCTGCAGCAGGTGCACATTCCACTGTTGCTGTAACAAGCAATGAGGCTGGAACTTCTGCAATTGCTGCAACCCCAAGACCGGAACCAGCTGCTGCTGGACCCAGCCACGCCAGTCCCTATGTGGACCGGAAGGCGGTTCAAATATTGTCCAAATACGACGGCAAGGAAGACATCGAGTCCTGGATCGGCTCCATGAGGGCCTACTTTGAGATCCTGGGGACTCAAGCTGAGACCCAAGCAGTTATCATGGGTATGAATGTCGATCCAGTCGTACGGGGCTTCCTAGAAGTCCAAGCAACGCGGGCTGGGTTTCAAAAGTCTGCACTAGCCAAATGGCTAAGGTCCACCCCGGTTGCCTCCCTCGAAGAACTCCTTATCTGAGAATACCAAGATCCACATGTTGCTGCTAAAGCAAGGATCCAACTGGATAAAGTAAAGCACAACAAGTGGAATGGCTCCATGAAAAGCCTGCAAACCTATCGAAGCAAGTTTTTGGAATTGTCCACTCAATCTTGCTTAGATGTGGTCAAGGGCGCGGTTCCAACTAACTTCACTAGTCGCCTGGGCAGGGACTACATTGCGTATACTGATTGGCTTGCCTTAATGAAGGATGTAGTCAGTCTGGAGGCCATGGACCTCGTTAGAACGGCAGGCAGCAAAAAGCCCATGGGCGGCAGACGGTTCAAGGGCAGCAACCGTTTTGTTGTGCATGACCTGCTGGAGGCCGAAGGAGAAACCGATGCGGTTGACCCCACTCTTGGTGACGACCAAGAACAGGACTCCGGTACAGCTTGTTCTTCGGCCCATGAGTCTGACGCAAATAACGAAGAAGAAAATTTTTTTGCCTTTAAAAAGACTGCCAACACTAAGGGACCGAATCGGAGTGCCGGAAAGAGTTATATCCAACTCCCCAAAGGAGTTAAGATCCCGCCTAAACCGGAGGATGCATCTACCAAACCGTGGGTTGACCTCCGGATCACTGAGAATGACTGGCGGGTCAGACTCAAGAAGGGGGTTTGCCTGCATTGCCAAAAGCCAAATCACAAGGTCCAAGACTGTTATAGGTTGCAGGGAAACCAGAACTGGGCGTAGAATCAGATTCAGCAAACTCTACAACAGGGGAGTCTGGATCTGATGGAAATCAGCAGCCCTCCCTTGAAGCCCAACCATCTGCTGAAGACAAGGTTGAGGTGAGTAAGGTGTTGTATGACGAGCCTTGGGAGGAGTCTGAAATGATTGACTTCCACTACCACTTGGAGCATTGGGCTGAAATGAAACAGCAGCGTGCCCAAGGGACAGTGAAGTTAATCTTCTTCAAACTTCTCATAAACCACCGCTATCTCCGTGTGTTAGTTGATTGTGGTGCTACAACTAACTTCATGTCACCACATGGGATACGCAAGGTAGGCTTGGGGATGAAGCAAGTGGCCCTGCAGAACCCTTGCCGGACCCAAGTTGGCAACAAAGAAGTCGTCTCTTCTACACATGCAGTCAAAGGTGTGCGCACTACCTTTGACAGAGGTAAGACTGTCACCAACGCACTGAACTTCTTTGTCCTTGACAAGTGCCCCTTCGACGCTGTCCTCGGCTTGGGTTGGCTGCAGTCCCAATGCGAATGGACCAAGTGGAAGGAATCACTCTTCATGGTCAAAGATGCTCAGGGGAACGAGCTTCCTGTCCTCTTGGATGAGAAGCACGAGTCCCCAGTGACTTTTCTAAATGCATTGAAATTCTGCAAGAAATGGCGCAAGCACAAAAAGGAAGAACAATTGTATGTTGCCTTTGTTCGTCCTGCTCATGTGCCTTCTACTTTTGCGGCTAGTACCACCACTACCTTGAGTAATGATCCTACTTCTAGCACGTCTACTACTAGCACCTCTACCTCTCTACCCTCCGATAGTCCAAATGATCCAACTTCAGATTCGGTCGTCTCTATACGCGACTTGCGACCGGACTTTGGTGATCCCTTTGCTGATTCCCCACCCCCACCTGTCCCATCAGACATCCAAGCCCTCCTCGATCAGTTTCCAGAAGTCTTGGCCGAGCCACGTGGAGTCCCCGCGCGACCGGTTCGACACACCATCGAGTTGGTCGAGGGTGTTGTTCCTCCAAAGGGTTGCGTGTACCGTATGGGACCCGGCGAGTTGGAGTAACTCCGACGGCAGATCGATGAGATGATTGACAAAGGGTGGATCAAACCAAGTGAATCTGAATTTGGTGCTCCTGTGTTGTTTGTGCCAAAGAAAGGAGGCAAACTCCGCATGTGTATCAACTATCGCGGTCTAAACCGCATCACGAAAAAATGCTTACCCATTGCCTCGTATAGATGACTTGCTTGATGCTACAGGCGGGTGCAAGGTCTTCTCCAAGATCGATCTCAAGTCTGGCTATCACCAGATTGAAGTCGATCCTGCGGACCAGCACAAGACTGCGTTCAAGATGCGCGATGGGCTTTATAAGTTTACCGTAATGCCCTTCGGTCTTACGAACGCACCAGCCACGTTCCAAAGCCTCATGGACAAGGTCCTCCGCGAACAGATTGGCCGGTTCGTGGTAGTGTACCTGGACGATATCCTGATTTTCAACAAGTCCATGGAGGAACACCTCAAGCATCTTGAGGAGGTGCTTGCTATCCTCAAGAAGACGCAGCTCCATCTCAACTTGGAGAAATCCGAGTTTGGGAGGGATAGCGTCATCTATTTTGGGCACCGGTTGTCTGCTGCAGGCCTAGAGCCTGAGGCAACCAAGATTGAGGTCATACGCGATTGGCCTCAACCTGTGAACATTCGTGAATTGCGTTCTTTTCTTGGTCTCGCGTCGTACTATCGGAAGTTTGTACCCCGTGTTTCTATCATTGCTCATCCATTGTCGCGACTAACCAGCAAGAATGTGTCTTATTCCTGGGATGCCGCGTGTACGGAAGCGTTTCGAACTCTCAAGGAAGCCTTGGTAAGTTATCTGGTACTCCGCGTTGCAGACCCCAAAATGACCTTCGTAGTTACTACGGATGCAAGTCGGTATGGGATCAGTGCGGTGCTGCAACAAGATGACGGCGATGGCCTGCGACCACTCGAGTACTACAGCAAACGCATGCCCAATGTAAAGGTAGCCACTTCCACCTACATGCGCGAGCTTTACGCTTTGCACATGGCGTTGGATCACTGGAAACATTACCTGTTGGGATGCCACTTCAAAGTGTTCTCAGATCATGAGACCTTGAAGTGGATCAAAATGCAGACTACTCTGTCCCCTACCTTGCTTCGCTGGTTTCATGAGATTGACATCTTTGATTTTGAATTGAGGCATAAAAAGGGTTGTTACAATCGAGTCGCTGACGCTTTGTCTCGCCACCCTGAGTACATGACTTGCCTTGTGAAATCCTACGACCTCCGGAAGAAATTGAGGGAGGAACGCGTAGAGCAGACAGCCAAGGATCCGGAACTTAGTTCCATCCTTGAGCAGCTGCAGGCTGATCCTAGTAGTCAGCCTAATTTCCACGAGTATGGAGGACTGATTTTTCGCCGATACGGGAACCATGACCGTTTGTGTGTACCCAACCATGAGCCTCTCCGCACACACTTCTTGGACTTGGCTCATGGCCGGAGCGGGCACTTCGGCATGGCTAACACGTACGCTAATTTGCTGAGACAGTCTGATTGGCCCGGTATGAAAGGGACAGATGATAAATTTATAGCTGAATGTCAAGTCTGTCAACGAATCAAACCATGCAGACAAAAGCCCATGGGGCTACTCACACCCCTACCCATTTCTGATGGTCCCCGGGAGTCCATCTCCATCGATTTCACTGACATGGGTAAGGTAAGCAAGAACGGGTTTTCACAAGTCATGGTGATTGTTGATCGGTTTTCAAAGTTTCTCAATCTAATTCCTTTACCGCCTCACGCCCCAACAGATCTAGTGATTCGCGAATTCCAGCAGAAATACCTGTTGCAGTTCAAAACCCCGAAGACTCTTGTGAGCGATCGGGACCCGCGTTTCATTAGCACTGAATGGAACGAGTTCACGTCCCACCTTGGAATCAAACTGTGCATGACATCTGGCCGACACCCCGAAGCCAATGGTTTGGCTGAGGGGATCAACCAGACTGTATTCCAACTACTCTGTGCGTTGATCATTCGTGATCAGGAAACATGGGATGAGCTGTATTCTGTCAAGGGGTTGTACAACAACTCCGTCCATTCTGCCACCGCAACGACACCTAACAGGCTGCATTACGGGTGGCAGATCCGTAATCTGCTCTCCTACTTATTCCCTGAACAGCCAGCTGGTTTAGCACCCGGCAGGCCCGGCTTCAGGGCTAAGTATGATCGCTTGCTCAAAGTTGTTGCAGCCATGACCAAGCGACAGCATGCCATGATTCACCATGCGAACAAGAAGCGCAAACCATCGGAGATTCAGGTAGGAAGTTATGTCTGGGTAAAGATGTCTGAATTCTCAGAGGAGGAGGGAGTCTCACGCAAACTCCTCCCACTCTACTATGGGCCTTGGGAAGTTTTGGATGTAATTGGAGAAGATCACTTTGGCCCTTCGTATGTTGTCGACGTGCCAGCTCACCTGTGCACGTATCCCGTGTTTCATGCATCTAAACTAAATCTCCATCGTGACGCCAAGACATTCGATTACCGCGAAGATATGATCCCTCGTGCAATCAAGGGCGGGCATGAGATAGATAGAATCGAACAGCATGTAGGTAAAGGGAGAAATAGACAGTACCAGGTTCATTTCATGTATCACCCGTTAGATGATCTTTACTGGATCTCCAAACAGGAACTGCTACGCAGCGCACCGCGCGTTGTTAAAGCTTACGAGCGACAGATCGCCGCTAATGCCACACCAAAGATCTCAGCAAGGCTCTCAGCAACAGAGTATTCCAGGAATCTCTTTGCCTTGCTCGCCTATGATGCGTTTACCGAGGACTCAGAATGAGTTACTCGCTCGAAGGGACCTCGCTCTTGAGGGGGGGGGGAGTGTGATAACCCGTCCGAACACGGACTGAAACACACAGCTGATTTCTGAGTTTTGCTCATAAACTGAATGCCCTATTGAGTTCCCCGCATGCTAAGTCTGTGTGTGTGTGTGCTTGCTGGACTGCATGTCTGTCTGAGTGCTGGTTGGCTTGCGTGTGTGACCATGCCTGTCTGAGTGCTGGTTGGTATGAGTGTGTGCGTGTGTGGCCCGCCAGGGCACTTGTTCGTTCGTTGGGCCCTCAGGGCCGGTACTTACCTGTGGTCATGGCTTCGAARGGTTGCAGCAGGGAAAAAGCACTCAAGTAGCGGGTAGGCCGGTACCGCACCCGGCAGGGGGGTAAATATGCAGCTACCAAAGGCCGAGCACAAGAAGACAAAAGTGGCATTTTTAGAGGCCAGTAGTGTGGGTTAGGTCTAACGGGTACCAGTCTGAGTCTAGGGCCTGTAGGGGCAATATCAGAGTCTGTAATGATGTTCCCTCCAAAAGGAGGAAGAGGTACCGGTTGCTTGGGAAGGCCAGYKGCCTGGAAGTCACCVYCCAAGAGGCAAAGCAGGCCGCTATATCTTCCGGCCGGGCGGAAGACCCGACCTCTTTTCCGGTGTGCAAGTTTGGCGACACACTGGTGGAGCGCTGGAGGGAGCAGCGCTGGGTTGGAGCTGCGCTGCTGGGGAGGAAGAAGAAGGACTAGAGGGAGGAAGAAGGAGGAAGGAAGGAGGAAGGGGGAGGAGCTCCAGGGGTACTTACCTAGCTATGGTGGCAGCCATCTTCATCACCTTGGTGGGCRCTGCTGCMAGGAGTCCCCARCCGGGGGAGCTACACCAAGAAGCTTCAAGGCAAGGCTGGGCATGGCGGCCTGAGCTGGAGCAGCCATAGCTGCTCTGGGTTGTCCTTTGGACGTCGGTGCAAGGCCTAGCAGTCCGCCATAGCCTCGGCCTATGTGTGTGAAGAGTGGGGGAGGCAGCCATGGCTATGGTGGACCTTGAGTGATACCTKCAGTAGAAAAGGGACTCGGACATGATTCTGGACCAGTCRTTCAAYRTTGTATTATTATTTCTTGTATGAATAWRAGAAGGGGGAGATAAGGAGGAGGAGATTGTTGGGCGAAGAAGAAGAGCCTTGTCATTGTCTTTGCTGGTGTACATCTTCTTCTTCTTCTTTCTTACTTCTTCTTCTTCTTCTACTCCTCTCTCACCTCTCAAGTTCATTCATTTCTTTTTGCAATTGGATGGCATTGTACTTTCCAGTGGATGTGTATCTCGAAATTGGCCAGGGTCATAACATACCGCTTTTTTTAAACCTTTTTCTATTATTATTAACGAATAAAAAAGGACCGGGAACCCAGCCCACCATCCCTTACAACAAGTTGAGCCACCCATTGGGGATGGGGATGAGCAAGGCACACCAGCGAAGCTGGAACCCAGGCCGCAAGAGATTCGCAAAAATCTGCAACGAGACCAGCGTTTCAACAAAATCCTCATTAGATAATAATTACACTCTCTATCTACCAGAGTAACTGCCCAATCTGATTTCCTAACCAAACAGCAAGACCGATACCGAGGGCATAGTTGACAGAAGCGGCTAAAGGGACAATCAGCCGACCCATTAAACCGCCGGTACACGGCCCCAGCCTTGCTGAAAAGAAACTCGTCGTCTATCCAGAAAAATTAGCCCCAGCGCACCGTCGATAAAAGAAATTGGCGGCCGGCGTCGCTTTTCAGCCTCTGACACGGCCCCGTGGCCGATGTGAGGCATGTAATGGTGGTTCAAATCCGGAAAACGTCCACCCAGAATGTACAGAAACCAAACACCTAGACCTTAATTACACTCGCTATCTACCAGAGTACTTGCCTAATCTAATCTAATATCTCATTAAAAACAGCAAGGCTGACACAAACAATTTGACCGGGCCAATCAGGCGACCCATTAAATCCCCGAAACATCCACCTAAAATGTAGAGAAACCACCCTTCCACCCATAGGGCAGGGTCCCACCTTACAATGGGCCCTATAGCCCAACCCACCACCCGTGATTAGAGTGGCCCATGCCTCTGTGTGCTGCATTCACCCCCTACAAAGATGCTTACCACCCTCCATCATGATAAAAACAACTTTTGCCTGGGAGTCGTCTTCAAAATTCACATCGAATTGGAGTAAAAAACAACAAATAGAAAGTTGTGCTGGCCTCAACAGGTGGGTCTGGACTAGTACGTCGGTAAAGATACCCTGACCACTAAAAGTGAACGTTTTCTGTTTTCTGAGCTTGCCCATAACAAGCAACCGGACTGCGGCCCCCCATAATCGATGGGGATTGTGTCTTGTGGAAGAGGGAGGGGGGGCGGGGGGAAGCCCCCGACCTCCAGACCGCTAGCTTACCTTTCTTCTTGTGTTCCCTTTTGGTGTGTGTTTAGTGAGGCATCCAAGTCGAGGCGGGAGAAGGAAAAAGGGAGTGGGCCATGCGCAGCCCATGTTAAAGGGCCCATCATTATCCCCCCCGAGCACAACTCCCTACTATCATTCATGACCAAATTTGGCCAGGATAGAGCCTGTATACATTTTGTGATCACAGGGAGTTCTGTTGGGGCCGATTTATTTAAGGTAAGACTTCCAGCTTTATCCTCCGTCCCCTTGGCAACTTTCAACACAGCCCCCAGCACATGTCAACTTTCTCCAACCACAGTCCTGCCTTCCTCCTTTCCCTCCACTCCCATTTTTCTGCAAACAAATCCAGGGAAGAAAGCTCCCTCCATCTTTCTGAGGCCGATTGGACAAGCACAAATTTATAGACAAACATAACACTAATGACCCGTCAAAAGAACACAGCTGATTTCTGAGTTTTGAAGCTGGAACGAATGCCTTGCTGGGATTCCCGAGTTCTGCCGAGTTTTCTAAGCCTGTGTGTGTGCATGCTCTCTGGTCTACGTGCCTGTCTGAGTGCTTGTCGGTCTGAGTGTGTGTGTGACCTGCGAGGGCACTTGTTTGTTTGGAGCCCCCAAAGGGCTGGTACTTACCAGTGGCCGTGAGAGGGTTGCAGCGGTGAAAACACTCCAGTGGAGGGAGTAGGCCCGGGACACTTAGAGCAGCGGGGAAAAACACTCAAGTCGCAGGTAGGCCAGTACCACTCAAGTAATGGTATATGTGTCGGGAACTGGAAGCCGAGCAGAAGAAGACAAAAGTTGGCATTTTAGAGGCCCAGTAGTTGGTAGGCTAGGTCTAGGTGGGTACCAGTCCAAGTAGCCTGAGTCTAGGGCCTGTGCGGACGATATCAGAGCCTGCAATGATGTTTCCCTCCGAAAGGAAGGAGGTACTGGTTGCTTGGAGGCCGCGCGGCCTGGAAATCACCGCCCAAGAGGTAGGTAGGCCGCTATATCTTCGCGTAGAGATTTGGGCTCTCCCTCATTTGCGGTATGCAAGTTTGGGCGACATGCTGCTTGAGCAAGCGCCAGCATTCTGGGCGCTGCTGGAAGCGCTGGGCAGTCCAGCGCTGGGAGGAGGAAGAAGGCCGGCAGCTTCCACCTCGGCTAGGGTGGAGCTTGGTTGGCCAAGCAGTAGAAGTGGAATACGGACATAGATTCTGGTTCTGCCATTCATCATAGGAGGAGTTTGGTTGGCGAGAAGGAGGGGGAATTATCATTGGTCTTCCGCTGGTGTACATCTTCTTCTTCTTCTTCTTTTTCTTCTTCTTCTTTTGTCCTTCTTCGTCTTCTTCCCTATTTCTCCCTCCTCTCAAGCTCATTCATTTCTTTTGCAATTGGACGGCATTGTGTTTCTCATGAATTTACTTCGAAATTGGCCAGGATCGTAACATACCGTAATATAAAAAGGGAAAATTGTTGAAATGCCCCTGAAAGTTGGGGTATTCTGTCAGGAAAAAACACAGGGGTATACCGGGTCCTGTGCAACTTCTTCATACGCCCTAGTACTTCTCGCTGTTGGACCCTTGGTGGCAAATTTTGCGAATACCATTGCAACTACCCAGCATGTCTTTGGTATGCAAATCTCTCTCTCTCTCTCTCACTCTCCTGTCTCTTATACACATCTAGATGTGTATAAGAGACAGACAATATATTGACGATATATTATATTTTGTAAAA